TCACAGGAGACTACTGCAGAAAACATAATTGTGTCAAGGTGCAGCTCTCTGCAGCATTTAGGACCATTTCACCTCTAGTTGAATAAAAGGGCAAAGAGGACCAATGATCTTATCAGTTCCAGCTGGAGACTCCAGGAAAAAGGGGTGAGTATATACTGGGGATGATCCAAAAGGGTGAGGACCAGAAGAAGGTAAAGTGCAAGGGCAGGGTTCTAACATTCATTGAGGAGTAGGGCTCACCAACACACAAGGCACATCTTCACTTCTGGTCTTCTAATGCTACTGGGTAGAGATTTTGAACATCTTTAACAAATTGAGTTATTTAAAGAAGTAAAAATCAAATTCAGGGGCTCAAACTTAATAGACAAGATGGAGCTGTACATTATATGCTTTAATCCTCTGTCAAGTTTTAAATGCTGTCTGTAATGGCAGCAGCAAAATTTCTCTCAACCATTGTGATGACAACCAGAGCCCGCTGTCTAGAACTGCTTTTAAAAGAGGATTAATCATATATTCCAATGCACTTAGAGGTCAGTGACATGAGAATTATTTTCAATTAGGCAGAAAGGAAAACATGCCTACAGCAGAGCACTGACTGTCATTGTGCAAATGCATGGAAATTTACGTACATGGGCCACAGGCAACAAAAAGTGCCCCCTGGGGTCAAACCCTACTTAACTTCAACTCAAATAAATAAAATGGGGTAAGTTTGACTTTAATGACTGGAAACATATGTAGCACACTGCAGAAATTACATATAATGGAATTGCTACTTTTTTGTACTTACTCTTTCAGAGAAGTCTGAAAATGTTCTGAAGATACTAATGGCTTGTGTTGCCATGTCCATGGTATAGCTAAGTGCCCTGGGACATCACAAAATGCATTATAATTATACTTCATATATTTTAAACATTTATAAATATTGACTAAACTGTGACAAGAAGAACAAAAATACGCATCTTTGTTTGCTTTAGAATTTTGGAATCATAAAAGGGCATCCAATACTCTAAGGGACTGTTTGCAACTTTCCAGTATTATAAATACAAATGAGTCATTAGATAATTGCATTTTCTAAGTCTGCAAATTTAAATATATAATTCTACAGACTTATTTTTGAACAATTGATACATACACATTAAAAAAGAAGCCATATATTCTGACAAAATATGTGCATCAGTGCATATATTTTATGTGGGTTTACTGATATACTTGAACTAAATCTACACATTGCAGTCTACTTGATTCCCAGTTCTGCTGTCTAAACACCTGTGGATTACTGGTTCAACAGTAAACCTGTCAATCTAGTGTTAAATTGCTGAATGCAACATCACTTTTTCCAGCAAATCAGTGTCAAGGTTTTATTATTTCCCTCCCTTCCTCAGTATTTCTAGCGTTAGCTTAGTAGAAAGTGTAATTCTTGGATATCTTAATGCTTTGTTTCACAGTGCATCCGACAAAAGTGAATCTCATTGAAATATTAGAAGCCATTAAGTCTACGAATGAACTTTAGATTCAAAGCAATAATAGTATTGAATACCCCAGGAAACAGCTCTGAGAAGTTTATGTGACAGGCAACAGTGATTTTTAGGAGTCATCAAGCTTTAATACACCAAGCAATCAAGTGAACTACAAAACCATTATACAACAAGATCAACCCTTTCACTGCCAGATACTTTTTTCTAATTTTAGCCAAAATGAAACATTTACGCTTTAGATGTACCCCAAATAGGCAATATTGGTATTTAAAAATAACTTTTAATGTTTCTGCCTCTGTAGTTATTCAGGAAAAGTGTGGTAGTGATTTAAGAACAGCAATTACAAATTAGTTATGTTGGTACTGGTTTTCATGTGCTAAAACCTGTGCTTTGTCCATGCAGGGCAAAGCAACAGAGTCCCTTTAATCCCCCCCCTCCTAGCAGCAAATATTCACCTTCACTTTCTTCCCTCACTGATCCGTTAATTCGCTTATAGTGAGGAAAGCAAACCCTGAGGAGGATTCATGGCGCTCTAGTCAGAGATTACATAGGGCTGAAGACTCTCTCCCTTTGGCATGAGGGACCGAGCAGAACAGAAAAATAGTTTTAAAAAAGTAAATAGAAAACGATTGTGCAGAGCTAGCAATGACAGCTAGCTACGCCCAACAGTTTTCTATTGTCATGCGACTCTGCTGCCGTCAAAAAAAAAAGAAAAAAAACTCTCTGGGAGCCTCCCAGGAGAGAAACACTGCTTTTTCTTTTTTGTTTCTTTATTCTGACACGGAGCCATGTCAGAATAGAAAAAAATATATATTTTTTACCCATTGGAATGCATTGCTAGATTCCTATTGGCTATTTCAATTTGCAATAGCCAATAGTAAACTAGCATTGTACCCGCCCTCTGCTGATGGACCTGATGGAGAACTGCAGCAGAGGGCGGGTACAATGCTAGTTTACTATTGGCTATTGCAAATTGAAATAGCCAACAGGAATCTTGCAATGCATTCCAATGGGCAAAAAATTATTATTTTTTTTTTTACCTATACTGACACGGCTCCGTGTCAGAATAAAAAAAAAGAAACCGCAGTGTTTCTCTCCTTGGCGGCTGGGAGTGGGAGACTCCCGGGGCGCCAGGGAGAGTTTGCTGTTTGCAGATCAGTATCCCTGGTTAGCAGGTAACCAGGGACGCTGATCTCTCTGCAAGTGGCCGGAGCCAGCCCTAAGGCCTGGTTCACACCTGAACGTTTTGTAGCGCGTTCAACGCTCGACGAACGCTCTACAAAACGCTCAAACATCTAAATCCCATTGTATTCAATGGGTCTGGTTCACACCTTGCCGTATTTCCGCCCGTCCGAACGCGATACAAAACGGCCTACGCCCAAAGAAGTACATGTACTTATTTGGGGCGTTTTGGTCTCGCGTTTCCATTGGGATACAGCCAAGTAGCCCTCGGTAGCCCTTGTCGCGCAGTTTTTTTAACCACGAATCGCGGTAAAAACGCGCGACAAACGCGCATATTCAATACGCCTAGGTGTGAACCCAGCCTAACATCACGGCTGGCTCCGCCCAGCTGACAGAAGCAGGCTGTCGGCCGGCCAATGGCCGGCTGCTCGGCCAGCTTCGGCTTTTAGCGCAGCTCACCCGAGCTGAGGCATATGCGTTCGGCTCGGCCACGTTCGGGAGCTGTACGGGCTATAGTGAATAGCCCGTACAGCACCCCTTCGGTTCTACTGAACCGAATGGGTCCTGGGGCCGAAGCTAGCCGAAGGATCGTGAATAGACCCCTATATGATGCAGGAGAGGGAGGCATTAAAGCAAACCCTTCCCTGCATTGGCAAAGCACATAATTGATTTTGGTGTTGTTTACTGAATTCCTTCCCTCTCACAATATTAACATTTCACTTTTACCTATTCCACAGTGGCAATAGCTATTGCAATTTTGGAGAATTCTGCATGTCACAATTAATTTACCATTTTTACTCATACACTCTGCTGTATTTATTGGCAAAATATTAAATGCTCAGATCAAGGGCCTGATGTATAAAACTTCCACCCACCCTATAGCTGAGTGAATGCTGTTCACACACCATTATGGCCTCTAGATGGAGCCGAGGTACATAAGAATTTCCTATGGCCCTCGGCTACATCTAGTGGCAGCAATGCCAAGCATTACCTGAGCTATAATATGGGCAGATGTTTTATACATCAGTCCTCAAGTGTTAACTGCTATTTATCTCAATATCTATTCAGTAAATCATGCATCAAAATGCAATAACCTGCAGTGGGCTGCTGATAATTTTTCCATTATAGAGCTTCTGGATGAAATTCCTCCAAGCCCACACTTGATTATATGACTAACAATATAAAACTAATAATAACCTAATTGAAAATAAATTAAAAACTTATCAGGAAGACAGAAATACATCTAATATTTAAGTTTTTTATTTAATCTTTAAATATATTTAATTTATAGTTTACTAATAGCTACCACCCTGATATATGAATTTTCCTCAAAGTAGTGTAATTTGTTTGTAATTGTTGATACATTACATCATTTATTTCACCCATTTTTCATCTGTTTTAAGAATTGTCATGGTCTGCTTCTACATTAAAATGTCAAATTTGCATAGGCAAAATATATAGGAAAAAAGTTAAATGTAGTTAAATAATAGGCTGAATTACTATGAAATCAATCATATCAATTATTTAAATGAAACCTATAACATTTCTGTTAATTGCTGTTATGTCACAGAACGTTGGTAAATAGGTCCTGTCTTTCACATGGACAGTGACTGCAATAATAAAGCTTAATAGAATATGCATTTTAATTTATTAAAGAAGTACTCTGGGGAAAAAGTAAACGCTTGCACTGGGGCTACCCCTGCAATGTAAGGGTTAAGTGCTAATTTTAGTCCAGGGGCAAAATTAACAAAGTTATTGCCAACCGATCCTCAGATTGCTCTCTCCAGCATGTCTCCTCCTTTGCTCCAGTGATAAAATGTCCCTTAGCATCCTCACATCCTATACATGTATAAGACGTGATGAATAATGGGACCTTAGACTACTGGAGTAGAGAGGAAGAGAGGCTGGAAAGACGGGTCTAAGAGCCATCTGGCACTGAGGATCTGTAAAAAGTAAAGTATTAAGTATAACTCAACCCTTGCAGTGTGGGTATAGTCATCCCATGAAGCTGCATTAAAATGACCCTTTCAATGCTGTATGCTATTTTAAAAAAAATGTTTGCTTTGTTAACTGCTCCCAATTGTAATACCCAGCTCCCCATATCTTTTTTTTTCTGAAAAACTATTTACTTCAATCATCAGTAAAAGTCCTGTTTTTTTATTTCACTTTCAAATGACTGAGTACTAAAGTAAGTAATTTAACTAAGTAAATGCTCCCTTTGTTAAAGTGTATCGATAGCCAATCTTTTTTTTTTTCTTTTTCAATTTTGGATAGAATGGGGTTGGGATGAACCCAGCAAGTTTTATTTCTTAACTTGGCTCTGTTAAAGAGATTTGCACACACTTCCTGTTCTATGGACAATCTTATACCAGACAGGAAGTGGAGAAAAATCTGCAACAGAGAAACAGACAACAAAAAGCAAACTGAAAAAAAATGGTTTTCATACATCTTGGGAGAGCAGCCTCTAACCCCTAAATCATATACTATGTGAATAAATTATAATAGGTAAAAACAAATGATCTCCACCGTACTCCATTTAGCAATATACAGAGCAGACATGGAACACATCTTAAATCTTTAAGTAATAAACCAAAAGCCGTTAAATGTGAAAAAAGCTCCACCAATTTATGCACACATGTGTTTATTAAAATACAATATATTTTTTGTATTTTGTAAAGCAACTAGTGTAAGTACCTGACTTTGACTTAGTTTCAGCCTATTGTTATCCCATGTACAGCAGAATGTAGACTGGGGGAGGAAGAAGCAGCAACAAGAAGCCATTCAGTTGTACTGAAGTACCCATGTGCTAACAAAGAACATACTGATAGGAGTGAGGGAGATTAGCCCTCCTTACCATCTTGTCTTGAATTGTATTGTGATTGTAATGTCTTCCTTATATTGTAAAGCGCTGTGCAAACTGTTGGCGCTATATAGATCCTGAATAATAATCATAATAATAATTATAATAATAATTAGCTCATCTATCTGCTGCTTCTCTTTCACTGTACATTTATAGACAGGGAGCAGGGAAAAGTTGTGCTACTTAACTGCATTAGAGAAAAATCAGATTCTAATGTTCTAATTCTAATGTCCAGAATAATACCATCAGTTATAGAGGACTACAAATCCCAGCAATACAGAATGGCATAGTCTACAGAGGCCATACATTGTTAAAATATGATTCAAATTAAAGTCAACTTTATAACTAATTTAATTACAAATTGTATTCAGACCTGCTACTTGAACAAAATCCCTTACAAATCTAATTCTGTATACACTATATAGAAACCTTTGTTTTGCCGTCTCATACCATACATAGTAATTTGAACAAATGGATGTTTATGATCACAAAAGTTCTAATTCCAAATAAAACTTTTCCTAGAACATTCACATTACAAATACATGTTTTCCCGACTGAGGACCACATTAGTAATTAGAATTTTGTTCGTCCAGATAAGTAACAAGAAACATTTTTTAACCTGGGCCGTCAATTTTTCTCATCACTGCTGTCAAAAACGATCATCAATTTCCCCCTACTAACTATTAGAAAATCAAACAAACATTTTGAGATTGATTATTTTTCAACAGAGTTCTAATCCTGTATGGCTAACTTAAGGAATGTCAGCTGGTGCAAAGATTTGTCTATGTTTTGTACAAACACTTCATATAATCTGCACATATCTGATATAAGCTGCAAATTGGTCATATGCTTTTGTTTTTTTCCCAGCACATTTTGACTAACATGACATATAATAAACAGATCAATGTAAGTAATCTGCAGTCTAGATTTCTCTCTATTGTTCGATCTTTGCACAAAATACAGGTAAAATTAGATATGTCAACACAGTGCCGTGGTTTTTAGGCAGACCCTGCAAAAGTAGTTTACTTTGCTCCTTCTCCCAGCAGTGACTTGTCTTCTAGTTTACCTGCTCAGTGTTTACATTAGAATGTTGGCTGTTAAGTCTACTGAAGCTACTGGAAAACCAATTAGAACGAGACAACAGTGTTTCTGCTATAAATGTAGAGGAAACAATGACTCCACTATGTCTGTAGCTTCAAAGATCAGTGAGGGCCTGTTTAAAGCTTATTTACTGCTTGTAAAATATATATAAATACTTGAATATCCATAGCCTGGCCACAAATTCATGTATTATTTCCTATTAACATGTACGTAGAGAAATACAATATATACATAGATTTCATGAATCTATGAAAAAATGTTTTTTTTGTTCAGAGAATCAGATAAGCTGAACAGCCATAGGCACAGCTATCTACAATCTTATAAACATCCCATCTAAAAAAGTATTCGCTAACTTTGTCACTTTAGTACAGATATACACTGAGTGGCCCGATTATTATGAGCACCCCATCATTACTTCGTTGGGCCACGAGATGACTCCACAAGATGACTTTCGTTGGGCCGCCTTGTGACTCCACGAGATGTTGAAAGGTGATGCGAGGAATCTGACACTGCACTGTTGCCCTTCTGTTGTCTTGTACCAGTCTTGCCACTCTCCGTTCTGCCCTAACATTGACTAGTCGCTGACGGCCACAATTTGCATGTTCAGACCCAGATTTTCGGCTGACAGGTCAGTCTTTAAACACTTTAACAACAGCTGCTCTTGAACATTTAACAAATTCTGCTGTTTTGCTGATACTCGCTCCATGGCTCCGAGCGCCAACAATCATCCCACGTTCAAAGGCTGATAAATTGCGTTGTTTACCCATATCTTCAGAAGAAATCATGTCTACTGTCGTGGTAAACAACCTGCTTCCCTATTTATAATGGTCTGGCCCTCTAGCAACTTCAGCGCAAAATTATAGCTAATTTGCCTACAAACGTCAGGTGGTCATAATAATCTGGCCACTCAGTGTACACAAAACTGTTTCTAGAGTAAGCTAATGATAGATTTTGTTGTAATGTGACTCTTGTTAATGTAGACTGCCAAAGTACAAACACTATTGTTAATACAAAACTTAGATGTTTAATTTGGTCTAAACTGCCAGATCTGCTAATAGAAAGACCATTTTACAGTAATACAGAAGTAATTCCCAGAATAGAATCCAAAATCCACAAACTAAAACAAAGGCCCTGATTAATAATATAACATAAAGGTCAACAATGCTCACACCCAGCAATCAGAAGTCACTTTTTGTTAGTCTAACTACATCAAGTCGATTAATACAAATTTGAGCTGCAGATTAAATTTGTGTTATGTTATGTACCAACATCATAAATCAGTATGTTCATGATCCAGTACTCAATTTTTCAATGAAAGTCACCAACACTATAATATCCCTTAATTAAACTAATTTAAGCCATGTAAATGAGAAACGTCAGGCCACTTCTCATTATGTTTATTCTCATATTAATGTGTTATAGATGGAATAAAAATGGAACATATCTTATTAAAGTATTCTGCAATGCCATATAACTTGATCTCAGAGAACAAAATGTATCATGTAAATGGTGATAGAGTACAGTATATAAAAGTATGTCTGCATTAAGGTCTCGTTCACACCTAGGCGTATTGCATATGCGTGTCTGTCGCGCGACCGTCACGCGTTTCCGAAGGGTACTTGGCTGTATCCCAATGGAAACGCGCAACAAAACGGCCCAAAGTAGTACTTGTACCTTTTCAGGCGTGGGCCGTTTTGTAGCGCGTTAGGGACGGGCGAAAATACGCCAAGGTGGGAACAAGACCATTGAATACAATGGGATTTATATTTTTGAGCGTTTTGTAGAGTGTTCGTCGAGCGTAGAACGCGCTACAAAACGTTCAGGTGTGAACGAGGGCTAACTGTTTACATGCATACAATTTTTTAAATGTTTTATGCTGAGTTACATAATTTTCAGAATAGTTAAACTTTTGCTACTTCAACAAGAAGAGTGTAAGACAATTTAATTAATAATCCTCAAAGCCCATTAGAGTATGAGGATGCAGCCTGACAAAGCCATTCTACCATACTGAAATGTGTAAATCAATAATTTGCATGCTAGACTACGCAGATTTAAAGAACAGCAGCCATCCATGCAACAACAGTGCTAAATAATGGTATGTTTGTGCAGAACTGTAATGCACAGACAGCATATTTATGTAGGGATTTCTATTTGTATGAATTTTGAAAAAAGGTTGCGAGAAATCTACTAAAATCCAGATTTAGAAATTGATTGCCTCAATACTAATACATTTGTGGTAAAAATAGCTACTGGCTATAGGTCAATTTATAAAGCAGTAACTGTGACTTTCACCAAACATTCTCTGGTGGAGAATCAATCACTCTCGTTTAAAACAAATGGACCTGGAATGTTTGTTAAATGTCAGATTCACTGCTATATAAATATGCTCCTTAATGTCTGGTACTTTTTTGTACAAGTTTAAGTATTGAAAGCTGTATACGCTGTATATGCATATGCAAGGGTCATATGCCATTCTTTGGTAAATGTGAAAAAAACAGAGAAACCTCTATGGCTATTAGAGGAAGTGTAAGCAATATAGATTTGTGGGACTTGTTACCTGGTGTATAGTCCAATGTTTGAAGTTGCTTACAACGTCTGCTTACAACTAGGTGCATTTTCATATAATTTGGCTTCTAACTTAGGGGTCTATTCACGAAGCTGCTGAGGGCAGCCGAGTGAATGACCGAAAATCGGCTGTTCTGCTTGGTCCCTCAGAGGGACCGAGCAGAACGGAAAAAGAGTGAATAAAGTAAAAAAAGTAAATAGAAAACGATTGTGCGGAGCTAGCAGTGACAGCTAGCTCCGCCCAATAGTTTTCTATTGTCTGGCGGCTCTGCTGCTGTAAAAAAAAAAGTAAAAAAAACTCTCTCGGGTGCTCTGGGAGCCTCCCGCTCCCAGCCACCCAGGAGAGAAACACTGCTGTGTCTTTAGCTTCGTGAATAGACCCCTTAGTATGGGTGCAACAGTTAAAGTGGAAAATCCTAAATTTATTGTTAAGTTGCAAGTTTACTATAAATACAGAAATCAAGACACTACAGTATAGGTGATATTCTAGGAATATTATTTTCTAAAAATGTTTTCTTCTAATGTGGCAGCCAGGCAGTAAAAGTCAAGGTTGCTTGGTTGCTGGCTTTGTCCCTGGCACCTAAGCTGGGTGTCTGTGTACCCAGTGCTTTCTGAAATGGGGCATGAAAAAGTCTTATCCAAAGACAATAAAGCTTTTCGTTGGATATAAGTGTCAATCATCAGTCTTTATGGCTGCTGCTTAGGAGGCAAAGACTGGTCATACATGTACTGATTGTTGAGAAGATAACACAAAGGTTTGTTGAACATTCAACTGCAATTCAAGGGATAGTCAAGGAAAATTAAACACATATTATTTATT